TTCTGTTGAATAAACCGTGAAAAAATGAATATGTTCATCACATGGAGAATGCGAATTCTCAATGCATTTCTTTCTATCCTCCCTAGGTACGCACGATGCTTTTATTATAGGAATTCTCTTCCATGCGCTCCAAGCGATAAAAGAAGCGCATCCCCTTGTGATCAACTTTGGGAAATATCGAATAACCTACTATCAACATCATATCGTCTATAAAAAGGGGGAGATTTGGAATTCTCCACCTAGGAAAATATTCTTAATGGATTCAACTTCAAAAAGTTCAAAACAGATTCGATTGAGAAGTTAGGGATATCTTCTTGTGATTGAGAAAGCAGCTTTATGTTTTCTTTTAATAACCGTCTGAAAAATGTATTGAAATTAAATTAATTATCCTTTGAAATCTGAATTTATCTATATAACAATAAAATGTTCATTTCCTTGATAGATATTGATATTCAGGCTGATAATTTACCTATAGAAGACAGAAATATGTACCTTCTTCATTGAATTCGGTGGTTCGAAACAAATTTGATCCAAAGATTATATTTCTGTGCCAAACAGGAATATAATCTTAATAATCTTGATTGTCAGATTTCACGTAAATTCTCCACTCAGACTCAGCCTTGCTCATAATCCTGTAATTGAAAAACCAAAATTTATTGCTCAAGTTCCAAACGACTCAACAGCATAGGAGTAATTTTTCTCCTGGAATACATTTTGAATGTGTTTTAAAACGACGAAATTTGGTGAATAAATTCCGGCTTGATGGCACTAAAACCGACTTTAATTGGCAAGGGCGGAATTTTATTGTCCTTTATCCAAGTAATCTCTCTCAGACATACAATAAGAAGATGGGAATTATCGAAATCTTATGAAGATGAAAAATTAATGAATGAATAATACAGAAGCATTATTTTTGATTTGCATGTAGCATAAGTCAGATCGCTGATGGTTATTTAATCGTATCAGCAACATCAAACTCAATGGACTTGATGTTTAAAAGCGATATAGGTAACTAAATGATCGTGTAATTCGGAAATTGATTGCAAAATATGTGCTGTTCCACGACTGAAAGATTTAATTCAACTAATTTAGTATGCGCAGCGGAATGTTCCAATTCCATGACATGGAATCATAAATATTCCATTACATCACCCACAACCATCCCAAAACAATTTAGGACAGTTCGAAACGCCTATTCACGGTAATGTCCTGCACACTGAACAATCATTTTTTCTATTTTAATCAATTCAAACAATTCTATTCTCGAATGAATCAGAAACTTGGGTCTCTTATAGTCACATTACAACCGGCAATGTCGCTTCCCTATTCAAGGATGCTTTCCGAAAAGATACGGAAAAAGTATGCTTCAAATTCACCACATATATTATAGGGAATTAAATTGGTAAAACTGACTCGCACTGAGTTCATATTTTGTATTCCATTGGTAAAACTGGTTCAGATAGTTCAGAGCTCAGTGCAACAATTCTCGCACGAGCTCTACAGTGCAACATTGAAAATGGCGGAAACATTGAATATGCATTGTTTAAAATCCAAAAGTTAGTGGCAATCAAATGATCATCATCGAGTAGTGATGAAAATTTTGAGGTTCCCAGAATTCATAATCTTGTTGAATGTTTTGAACTTATTCAATGATCAAGAGGTACTTTTTGAACTACTGCTCAAAATTATCTCCATGGAACATCTACTTTGTTTTTAATTCAAGTCAAGAAGGAATTTCAGGATGCGGACAAGTTATAGACAAAGACAAAACAATTCATCCGATTGAACCTCCAATAATAAAATGTTATTATATTATTTCGTATTCCATTGAATTTTTTTTACACCATATGGGTCCAATTCCCCATATGATAGTGTGGGAGTCCCCTGGCTCCAGGAATACCCACTAAACACTCCACCCCGTTGGTAGCCTCGTCTGACCGAAGTCTCCGACGACACTTAGGCCTAGTGGCCCATTGTATCTTACCTACATGCCGCTATCAGGGCCACTTCAATATAAAAGACCCTTTTCGTTCAGGTTCCTGAAGATTACTCTTCCGATCCCTGTTCTCGTCTACGAAGAAGGCCAAAAGTTTTCCTTCTCCTACGAGTGACGGGGGAAGTGGTTGGTCCAGCTCTGTGGTGCCCCCTGCACAGGGCTAAGGCTACTCACTCTGAGATGTCGCCCTGTTTCCCAGAGGCCCCGTTAGCGACACCATACCTCGGTGCCATTGATCCATCACCACGGGTTCCCACAGCTTGGATTAGGTTGCCAGAGCCTCGTTGACCAGTCCTCGGTGACCTAGACAGACATCAGCAAATCGCCCTATCCCTGCCACAGATGTCCACAAATTGTCCCATCTGGCCCGGAGATAGCAAAGATGGTCCCAAAATGCTTCATCCGTCGAGCGGCCGCGGTCTGTCCTTCCCACACCACTTGATGGTGAGGTTGGGCTTGAAGGGGAGGAGGAAAAGAGAAGTTGGCCAAGAATGGGCGATAGATAGATTGAAAAAGGAAGAGAGAAGCGGATATCACCCAAGACAAGTTGAAGTATGGTGAATATCCGGCTAGGGTTCCTCAAGTTCACCATTCCCGTACTCACAAGTTGTGAGTCCCTGAGGGGATTCCATTGGATTACCAGTTCACATTTTGGAGAGGACTAACGTAGTGTGGGTGCAAAACTGGTGCAAAACCATCACGGATGAAATTCGCTATTAGTGTTATCAAGCTCTGTAACAGAATTGATGACCACAAAATCTGAGTGTTCTAGATATTTTGTGGATCTAGTGATTCCTAGGTCAAGAAATTTGGATGGTGTTAGATATCAAACTTCTTCAGATAAAAGATCAAATTGTATCCTGCAAAAACCTAAGTGGATGCACTCGAAAATAAGTCCAACATCATGAGTTAATGAGAATCAGCTTCTTCTAAATGCATTTGATTATGACCCAGGTGATCAATCGAAGTTCTTATCGTAAATTATTTGTTACATGATATGGATATAAGGATAACAGGGAAGAAAGATCCAATGATATCAAACTCAGTGAATCCAAGTGATGGAATCGTGACTCTCTGGCATATTGAAATTGACTAGATACCCAGAACATCTTCAAGACGACAGATTTTCGTGGTAATCAGGAGTAATAATTGTATGGAAACGAATGAATTCGTGTTCGTGGAATTCCGGTGCCATCATATCTGGTTAATTGAAAGCATATATTATGTACTATTTCTATATATGGCGTATCGCCTATACGATATCTCAACGAAAATGGGACCAAAATGAGAGGTACTTCTTGAATCTATATATAAGGACGGAAAGTGGAGAAGGGAAACAGCCATATTGGTTTGACAAGTTTCGTATTATTTTTTCCCTACGTCGGCATCAACGCCTATTGGTCGATTTCGTTAGCTATGTCCTGCTTTGAGGACAGCTATGATTCATATATGAGTAGTATATACAGGGTGTCAATTTGAAAACTTCCCACCCTCAATATCTCCCTCCAAGTCGATAATATGGAAAAACGAAAAGACAGGTCGATTTTATTTTCGAGGGGGACATGGTTCTAAAATATTTTCAGCCCCGCGGCGTTGCCGCTCCTAACGAAAAGAAGCAACAACTTTGTTATTTCAAATGGAACACCCTGTATTTTATTGCATTTTTAGATTCTCACTGAAAAGCTGATTTCATCAATGTATCACACTTGCGGTCTAGCAGGAATGATTACAGAGATATAGGGTGTTCAAAATCGAGATTTTACAACTTTAGGATTTTTTTGAGTCGAAACTATTCATTATTGGTCAAAACGGCTTTTATGTCCCTATCTCAACTTTTGATTTACTATCTACTGACATTTATTTGAAACAAATACAGGGTGGTTCAAGATTCAGACTTTTGATCACCCTGTATTTGTTTCAAATAAATGTCAGTAGATAGTAAATCAAAAGTTGAGATGGGGACATAAAAGCCGTTTTGACCAATAATGAATAGTTTCGACTCAAAAAAATCCTAAAGTTGTAAAATCTCGATTTTGAACACCCTATATCTCTGTAATCATTCCTGCTAGACCCCAAGTGAGATACATTGATGAAATCAGCTTTTCAGGGAGAATCTAAAAATGCAATAAAATACAGGGTGTTCCATTTGAAATAACAAAATTGTTGCTTCTTTTCGTTAGAAGCGGCAACGCCGCGGGGCTGAAAATATTTTAGAACCATGTCCCCCTCGAAAATAAAATCGACCTGTCTTTTCGTTTTTCCATATTATCGACTTGGAGGGAGATATTAAGGGTGGGAAGTTTTCAAATTGACACCCTGTATATGATTGAAAGTATATGACTTCAGGTTCTGTAACCGGGATTTACGGTTTCTAAATCTTGTGATATGCCACGTGGAACTTAGCGTCATTAAGAAATCTTCAATTAATAACACAGAACAACAAAAAGAATGTATCTTGGAATAAAATTGATCCAATTTCATAAAAATATTTGATGTAATGTGTCCCTATGCGTAGAAAATTGCCAAGATATTGGTTTTCGAAGAGAGATATTCTCATTTTCACAGTATATCAGCAAAAACTATAACTCATATACTGTTTCCCTTCATTGCAGTACAGGCAAAAAGACTTTCTGCTGTATTATTCTAAAAAAAATTAAATTCCGACTGAGCCTGCTAAAAGCAGAGACTGCTGGCTTTTGCATACGTTTGCTCTAGTAATAGAAATCTGAATAGATGACGAATTTTTGTACAACACCAATATGAATCGAAGAATCGTATATGATATCAGTAGTACGAAATCTGTCGATATTTTCTGTATTGTCGCGAATTCTAGATCAAATCTACACATCCTGTATATTATAGAGAACTAAGAAAAAATAATAAGTAATGATGTAGGAGTTATTTATCACCATACAGGAACTGTTCAAGTTCTGCTTGTTTTGATATGCTTTCGTCTTATCGATTTCCCCTTTATCTTACCACAAGGATGCAAGACTGGTTGGAAAGTTGATAGTACCTATTTCGTCGGAAATTATTCATTGTCTTGGAGTCTTGGTTTCAATATGAGTTGTTTTTTGTTGAAAGTTCTGTTCCTATGTGTTTTTATTTTGGGTCCTGGTGATGCAACTAGGGATCAAGTAAGTGAATTTTAAGAAACTCACATAGAAATATCATGAAACTTTTTTCCATATTTTTCAGGGAATCATAGATAATCCTAAGAGTGGTAGGTATATACTTTTAATGAAGGAATATTGACTCATGAAGTCAGAAGTGCTATACAGGACAGAATAGAAATTTCCCAGATAGTTCTTTATTAATGAATCCCAAACAATTTGCAGGAGGGAAATTCGAAAGGAATACCAAGACTGTCTGCAACTCAACTAGCTGCAAAGACATCACTTCTCAACTACTTTTTTTGATGAACCATGACGTGGACCCTTGCGTAGAATTTCCGGAATATGTTTGTGGCAATCAAGGTTCTCTTAAAGACCCTTTTTCTGATATTTTCGAGTCATTCGAAATATTTCTGGGATCCAATGTGACCGATAAATCCGAAAAATACCGCAGAGATTTCCGTGATTTTTATCAAAGCTGCTTGCATTTCCAGAAAGACTTTGGTTTTTTGGACACACTTGAATTCTGTAAGTTATAGTTATTCTATCAGGTGAATATCAAATGGACTGTCAATAGTTTTCACCATATTTATTTCTTAATGAACATGAAATTTAATTGCAGTGTTGAAGCAAAATTATAGCAGTGTGACAGATATTTTGATAGAGGTGATTTTGAGACAGTCATTCCCATTTTTCGAAATCGGTCTGGATATCGATGTGGATACAGCAAAATATGTATTCCAGGTAAATCAATTGCATAACGCCGACCTTATTCGAACATATTCTTTGCACTTTTGGAAAAGCAGAAATTATAAAGTTACATTAACGGTTATCTAACCTGATTTTGCTATTTTCCTCTTCTATTTTCGTAGATAACGTTACCTGGTGAAAGTGTATTGAAAACAAATACTGATGGATGGTCTCTACGAGAGCAAATAAAGAATCAGTGTCGAGATAATTTGCAAGATTCTTTGAACAGCAATGAGATGAATTTAAATGAGATACATGCTGATTTCAGGAAATGTGAAAACGAAATGTTGAGAAAATATATCGAAAATTATGGTAAAAACATGAAATTTGTTCTGAATATCAATGATACGGAGGTAAGAAAATATTTAACGAACGAATTCTTTGATATTGAAAAAACCACTGTTTTGTGAAATAAAACTTCTCTTTCGTGAAATAAATTCGTTGATTGATTGAAGTCATCTGAAACTGATGTGCTTTGAATCGGTATCTTGATGATTGAATGATTAAAAATTGTCTTTATAGGATTTATTGACAGAACTATTAGGCCATCAACAGGTGAGATTACAAAATTATGTAGTTGAACTGTCTATTCCTAAGTTTTAACTGTGATTCAAGGCAATTCAAGTACCTGAAGAAGAAATATGGCAAGCTAAGATTCACGAAAACTTCACACAGATAACGATAACTGAGATGAACAACAAATATGACATGATCAATTGGACTCAGTTTTTTGAAGGAATAACAACAAATACAACATTTTCAGGAAACGAAATTGTTCATGTATATTTTCCAGACTACTTGGAGAAAGTTTTCATTTTCTTCAAAACCCTCGAAGAAAGGTAAAATAATACATATGAATAAATTGAAGAACGATTGATTTGGACAATAGAAGCTTGAAAGAAAATATTGGAGCTGAACCAATTTTTCTTCAAAAACTTTATAAATACAGGGTGTTGAAAAATTTGTTCAATGACACTTCAGCCCTCGTGATTTGATGAAGTAGGTAATCAAGTGGTTAGATTTTTATATATACAGTGTTATTTTCTACATTCCTGATATAATTTTCATTATGCCCAATTACTTCGGATTTCCTGTTCAATTCAAGGACCTCATCAACTGAACTGAGATAATATCTCAGCCAGAATATTGATTCCAATAAAAAAATGTGACAATATATCTAATAGTTTTCTCTATGTGCATGAATTTACTTTTTCCTGTTCAGCTCCCTGAACATCTCCCTACCTAGAAAAATATTTCTGCAGTGGAAAATTATGAAAAATCTATACCTGCCCAAAAATATATTCAAAGTAAAATATTTAGAATACGCGGTTATTACCAGCAAAGCTTGAATTGCATTGAGAATGGAAATGTATATGGAATTCGGTAATTGAAATAAAAACTTTCAGAGGTAGAGGAAATATGAGGGGAATGAGTTGAAAGACAGAACATAGGGCAACATATGACACTTGATAAAATATCTGAAATATTTTTCCCGTTGATATTTGATATAACTTACCTACCGAATTTGAATTGAAAATATGGTTTGTTCTTGAGCTGTCGAGGAAAACCAATCATTATATATCAGATTCAACACCGTTAGTCATTCAAATCACGAGAGCTTTATTACTAGGCAGCGTTTGTTGGTCGAATTTCACCCTGTTTATTCAACCCAACGTTCTAAGACGGAATATCCTCAACATATTAGCAGTTGACATGACTACTCTCAATTTTGTAGAGTGTGTTAATGATAATTCGAATATTTTTTGTAGGAAGTTGATAAGGATGCTTCAGGAGTTCTCCAGCTTAGAGCTCTACAAAAACCTCCTTCAACCTTATGGAAATACCAAAAGAGCTTTCTGCATGAGCCTAGTTTCACAACTGATGCCAGATGTCGCCAGTATCATCTTCTACGATAAAAATCCCATCCACAAAACCTTTTCCTCTGTGTTCCAGACCAGGAACTTGTTCAACAAGTTGAAAAATCAGCTGAACGAATCTATAGAACAGTCGACCCTCGATGAAGATTCCAAATTGGCCTTCGAGCATAAATTGGGGAAGTTGGAGTTGGGACTGATACCTTCTGGAAACTTCAACGCAACTAAGGACAATTACAGGGACCTCAGCATCGGACCTGATTTCCAGGAAAATCTAGTTCGAGTAATGAGAAACTATAGGAAAATAATATTTTCTCATGTCGGAACGAAAGCATCGGCTGCTTCATTGTGAGTTAACTGCTTTTTTGCTCTTCTCTAGTGACAATATTCTAAATTTTTGTTCCAGGTTGAACTACTTCGTTAGCCCCTTCCAAGATATACCCAAAACTTTTTATACCAGTGACACGATAGGTAATATTACTGATAATACTACTAATACAAATACAAAGTTCCTTTTCTAAAAACACTATTATCTGAATGATCGCCGTCTAACATCAGATGTTGTAAGTACTTACCATGGCACTAAAAATATAGTGAAGACAACTTTGTGTTTCTTCATGTAGCTTGGATTGTTAACTCCACTTTGAGAATGAACAACTTTCTTGATATATTCGATTGCAGTCCTTCATCCGGGCATATTCAGTAGAGTTCCATCCGATCTTCCAGACTATATCATAGTGGCAAAGCTTGGACTACTCATGTCTCAAGAAATTCTTCGACATTTCGATCCAACAGGACGTCTTTTCATGACTAATGGCGTTCGATCCAGCGATGAAAAATACAAGGTTTTGGTTGAGAGTACGAGGAATTTGATGAACAGTTTTTACCTGAAGAATCCTATCAACTACCACCAAAAGACAGTGCATTTGCAGGTAATTACAAACACATTCCTGATAGATGGTAGAATCAGTGATGAAGGCATCATGCACTTTCATGTAAAAAGGATTTATTTCGAAGGATACAAAGATATTTTTTTTCAGAAGATAAATGGAGATCATTTGTTGAATGAACTGATAAGTGATAATGCAGCCTTCAGGTTGCTCACTGACTATTATGGAACACTTGGTGAACAAAAACAGATGCCTTGGATTCGTGATGGCTTTACAGCAGAACAAGTATTTTTGATAGCTGCGACACAAGGTGAGAAATTTGTATTCATCGACTATAATGTCATATCAGCGAATTTGAAGATTTAATTTGTAATTGTTCTTCACGCATTCCATCTTCAAACAGTTATTCGAATATTAACTGAGAACCATGTTGTTCTATTCAGAACAAAGAGAATGTTGATTATTTGGTTCATATTGATGAAAAATTGTATCATTGCTTGTTCTTATTATTTTTCAAGTCATTTATATCCGAGGAATAATAACGACGTTTCCAATTACATTTTTCTGAATAAATTTTATCCCCTCCTTTCTACAAATAAGAATAATTATGCAGGGGTATTTAAATATAATGTGTAGAGAGAAAAAATAAGATTATTTGCTACGAAATGTTACTGCGCTTGGAAATATCCCTATCACAAACCCTAAAAAGAAAATTAAATTAATAGTCAATGACCACCTCGATTTGAGAAATGTAACTTAAAATTTCACGTCGATAATTTTCAGATTTCAAAATAATGTAATATCTTCTCAATATTGATTCGCCCTTTCTTGTGTCACAGAAAAAAAATAGTGTATTATACACGGGAAAAATATTAGATTTTAGCTCACGGTTTTTTGTCTCAACACAACCTGGAGCTAAAATCTATTACTTTTTTCCCTTGTATAATAAATAACTATCTGCCTATTTGTAAATGAAATAAAGGAGATTATTTATATTCGGGGCGAAACTTCGATGAACGATATTTCAGCAACGCCTCCATGTTTTTGCCTGAAATTCATCAGCAACTCACCTCTACAGACACTCCATAAGATGAACTATGAAAAAAAATCTGGATCCGGACTTGAGAAATTCATTTTCTTTATAAATGACATTATTTCGACTTTCTGGATCGTATTTTCGAAAAACTAACATCAGGATCAGAAAGATCAGGAAAAACACTACGATTTTAGTTTCGCCAATTCGTTAAAAAAATATCGAACAAAATACCGACGAACGTTTCCATGATTTCGCACGGGAATATTGTAGTCAAATCGTTCGACAAATTGCATATCAGTGTATCATGAGAGTTGGAAAGAGGCTCTATTCGATGGAAAAATCTAGGACCACACTTGATTTTCTGGAAATGCCTTTGAAATATGAACATAAATAACTTTCAAACGAAATCTGCTTCTACATGTGAAAATGTCCAAACATTGTACTCAATTTGAAGAATTATCGCTGAGGTGAAAGATTAATATTCGAATCAGATAAACGTTCCTACTTATACTACGAAGAAAACCTTTTCAACTCAATCAGCGAATTGAATTGTGAGTTTGGTGTTTTCACGATTCAGAAAGCACTATCCTGTTTTAGTGATAGATGTGAGCAAATGGATTGAAAAAAGTATTTCATTTAAACAGGATGGGGCACCTACACATTACTCAATACAAGTTAAAGAATACCTAGAAACCCAATTCTCTAATCGCTGGATATAGATCGTGGTGGCCCTAATTCTTGGCCTTCTAGGTCTCCTAACAGTATTAGACTATTATCTATGGAGAAATATGAAACGATTGCTATATCAGACTGAAGTCAACACCAGATAGGAACTGAGGGAGAGGATAGTTATAGGCAAATTATTCTAAAAACCATGCAAGATCTCCTGAAGAGATGCAGATATTGAAGAATGACAGTTCGAGAATCTTCGTTGATGATTGTTAAGGTATAGACAAAGCTCTTTCGAAAATTATTATTGTTTTGTAGTTTCTTACAAAAATCAAGTCCGGTCCTGATTTTTTTCGAATAAAAAACCATTCTCAAGTTTTCTGGTATATCAATATGCAAAAAAAAATTATTTCAATACCTTAAGTCGAATGTAGAGAGTAATGTGCCCGGACGAAATCGTAGAGACATTCATCAGTATTTTGTTTGAAATTTTTTTACCCAATCGATCGAAGTGTGCCGTACAAATTGAAAAGCTGCACTTGTAGTATTTTTCCTGATCTTCCTGATTCTGATGAGAGTTTCCGTCTCTGGAATTTTTTCTCCATAGTAGGTCACTTATTACTAGAGGTAAATTGCTGGTCATTTTCAGACGATAACATCGAGACGATCGTCAAACCGGTCAAACCGGAAGTGACTTTCATTTTTGGTTTCCTCAGTTGAAGCTTCCTTGCACGAATTAGAGATCATGGAATTTTCGAATTCTTATTTTTCGAAATGGCTGAGATAATCCATTGAAACAGGTATACTGGGACACCCGGTATATCAACTCACCTTGACTTCCTCTATCCGCCATTTGGCTATGGCTGATTAATCATGACTCACCCTATATAACAAAATGTCCTTAAGATATTCACATTGAATTTTGAAACACCCTGTATATCATTTCGTTATCAGATGACGATCGCAATTTGCAGTCAACTCTCGAACTGATACCACTAGAAAAGTGATCGGTATAGCTAATGAATCCTTGTGTTTTCAAGAGTTCTGTGGAATATACTCGGAGGTCGACTTGATGCGAGATCTTCTCGAAAGAGGACGCTTGCCGTTCCCGATCAAAATCCAAAATATGGTCAGCAATTCGGCATTTTTTGCCGAATCCTTCGAATGTCCTGTAGGATCAGAAATGAGCTTTCCGCCGGAATTGATGATCCAGTTCCCGTATATCCCAGAAATCGATGACGACATGATCGATAACTACGAACAAGGGCCGAGTGATGATTACTATGATCAAAAGGACACAACATAAACAAACAAATAATAATTGATTCAGGATTGTCTTCAGTTGCTGCCAAATATTATTAAAACCATAATTATTGTCTACTTGAAAAAATTTGTTTTTTCACCATACTAGCTATACAGGGTGGTCCGGTTTGTAATACAAAAAACTCAACAGTTTGTTGTACTCGTTGAAATAATAAAAGTGCAAACCTCATTCTCGTGGAAAATCACTATCTTTGCGTGCTCATTAAACAATATACTGTTGCGAAATAGATCTTATTCGATTCTTGGGAGATGTTCGGTGTCGAAAACTGCACTTTGAATATTAATTCTGCTTATACATCATGAGATCACCTTTTCAAGGGCAATCCAGAAATGAATGTAATTTCCTCCTGAAAAGGACCGAATCGACCACCCTGTAGAGAGTATGTACTTGATATTGGTGATCTAGAAATGACATAGTTATTATTGTTATACAGGGTGTTTCAAAAAAAACCTGACCCTCTTACTAGGGTAGGTAGAACACTGCAAAATAAGTTGAGTTTACTCAGTAAAAACATTTCGTAACGGCATCCGTTATCAAGATACAAGGTGTTGAAAAAATGATTTTTTTACATATTTTTCACGATTATGTCGAAACTACTGGCAACATTGTGATGAAATTCTGTATGGATGTTTCTTGAAATCTGACACATCGCATGAATTTGTTTTTATATTCGACTCTCATAGAGGGCGAACTTGAACATCATTCAATTTCACACCAAAAAGGTACTCTTGGGGAAACTCGATACTGTGTTCCTTTCTCGGAATATTTCGATTTGAAAATGATGAAGTGATAACTGTTGCTGGTATAAAGCGATGTATTAGAGTGAGTATTATGAAAAATTATCACCTATTTATTGAAAACCAAAAACAACAATACATTTCTGATGCTGAACTTATTGATTTAACAATGAATCACAAGAATAACATCGAAACAGATTTGACTAAGAACATGGATTACACAGTTTTGTTGTATCTTGAGCAGTAAGTCTATGCTACATAGGTAAATTCACGTCAAGAGTTGTAAGACATAATTGAACATCACTTAAATGACCTAACAGCTGATCCTCAACTGTTAAGAAGAATAATACATTCTTAAGAAAAGAATTTATAGAATCGTGTGTTCGTCGAAACGTAGGACATTTTGAACACTTACTCTAACTGATTCAATATTTCATGTTTCTAGTCAAATATCTCCTTAATTTTCTACTTATGATTCTTTGTTCCATCAATAACTTCAGCACAAGAATAATTTTATTGTTTTTGAATCTAAATAAATAGGTAATTGAACTCAATAAAATTAATTTAATACCAGCATCATAACTACTCCATTATTTTCAAATAGAAATATTCCGAAAACGGAACATAGTATCGAGTTTCACCAGAGAGTCGAATATAAAAACAAATTCATGCATTGTGTCAGATTTCAAGAAACCTCCATACAAAGTTTCATTACAATATTGCCAGTATTTTCGACATAATCGTGAAAAATGTGTGGAAAAATCATTTTTTCAACACCTTGTATCATGAAAACGGATGCCGTTACGACATTTTTTCACTGAGCAAACCCAACTTATTTTGCAGTGTTCTACCTACCCTAGCAAGGGGGTCAGGTTTTTTTGAAACACCCTGTATATCGGTTTGTTATCGAGATATATGGCAGTGGAGTTATATTTTTTGTATTGAAAACTGCAAAAATTATATCAACGATATTGAAACATTTGAGGTTTTCGATGAAACTTAACCTCCCACAATCTCGAGAATAAACTGTGTTCAAAGCATGTATTTATTGAAAGTTCATCTAAGTATATTGTTCAATCAATTCCTAAAATAAAGGTTATTAAAACGCTCCAAGAAAGTGATTTTTGATAGATGATGATGTTCGGGTTCTTTTCGTCAATTGCATTTAGCTCTCAACCATGGTAACTCCTCTTTTAATATGCAACTTCAATGAAACTTGACTGTTTCACATTCCAATCAAATCCCAAAAATTGGCAAGTCATTGTGTTGAGGAGTTTATCACTTTATATTAGGTAACCCGAAATTACCCATCCTAATATTTGAACTACCAACTGATATAAACTTATATCTTGGGAACTTGATTTCTTAGGGCATATAGAATCATCTAATAAATAATAATTACTGTATATTCTTGTTTGCCCTTTCGCTATATGGCCTTGAGCCGACAACAAATATTGAATCTCGAGCAGATGCCAAGGAACGACTCCGGAATATTTAGCAGGTTCTGCGAGGCTGGATGAAATTGTCGGGAGCATCTGGTCCGTTAATTACCTTTTAAATCATGACAATCCTCCACGGGATTTCCTTAAGTTCACAGTTCTAAGAGTATTTGCTGAGATACTGATGAGGGTGGAGGTTGTCACGCATACCATTATTGTCTGGAGATAGTGGAGATTCAACTGAAGAAAAGTCAGGAAGAATCATATCGGGTTATTCGGGGGGGCTTCTTTGAGAGACAATTTTTTTTTTATTCCTTGAATGAATCATCACTCAAATACCTTTCAATTCCATATGTTTTGAGAATTTTTCGGTTGATTTTTGGGTTCTAATATCATCAATAATGCCACGGTTATTTTCAAACGACAAGAAATTTACCGCCAGTAAAATTCGTATGAATAAAAATTATCTTAATTCACACTAGTGGACATTTGAATCGGTGAACGTGACAACCCCGCACACGACTTGTGGGCGTGGTCTTGTCAGTTTTCAGCACTCAGCACAATGTTACCAAGTCTCCAACATCCACATGATATTTTGTTATGGAGAATAAGTCAAGAATGAACTATAATGTCATATGAGTTCCTCCTATTATGTTTTATCCAACGATAGGACTCAAACATCTTTCTGATAACTTGATTATAATTGGTGACTTGACAACCTTGCTTCATGAGTGGAAATGGAAGATTATCTGACCAATAACGAAACAGCATAAAAACTGACTTCACCATTTATTCGACTTATCGCCAAATGGCGGCCATGATGGTACGTTTGAAATGACCTAAGGGATTCAGAGATCAACAAAGTTGAATAGTTGGCTTGTCATACGATTCCTATTTTATCAATCAAAGAATCAATGCATACAAATATTGTTAATCTAATCCTTTCGGATCCTCCTGACGAGAGCAGAAGCTTGAAAAAATTATGTTGAGGAGACCAAAATCATAGAATATGAATATCTTTGTGTTTAAGATGTTTTTCTACATCACGGATATGATTATTGTTCGGTGAGTTGAATATTTCCATTGAACATATTTTCATCAATTCAATTCAATTTGATTCTACATAATGATAGATAGATACATATCTTTCAACAAATGTTACAGAGCCAGAGCATTTATTCTCTTTTTTAGAATTAGATATATTATTTTTTCTACTCACATACCAGAAATGGCATTCAGCGTACGGATGTGTATCATGCTAAATGATCGATCAATCATGGATTGATGATCTGTGATTTATCAAATGGTTATTCATACTGGTCAAAATTTGGTACGAAACGCACAACTAATAGCTGAATAATTATGGAGCGGGGCAGTTTGAAATGGAGACACGCTGTAGAATCGTCAAAGTTGAACATTTTTTCATGAAACCTGATACAGATCTTTCTCAGAGGACGCCAATTCCAGTGGGGTATGCATGTGATCTAGTTGACCTTGGTTTTTGAAAAAAGTGGACGTCGCTCAGCTCCAAAATACAATTACATTTAAAAAAAAATTGTGAAAATCGCTTCATATTTAAAAAATTTATGAGGGTGGCTCGCTTTCGAATGAGTCACTCTGTACTATAAGCTTAATAATTAGGTATTTTTCATAAAGAACAACATCCGGTACTGCACGGAACAGAGGACATTTTGGATCAATTATCAGGTATCTAGAAGCCTCAGAAGTTCCAATCGCTCACGATGGTGATCCTAGACACTTTAGGACTGAGAGTGGCCTGCTTCGAATGACACTTGATGCCCTGCAAATCCAGCAAACCGCAGTCCTTCAAGTACTTGGGAGGCTTCACGTTGGGATGCTTCGTAGCCAAAAACTTACAGTAATCTCTGGTTGACTTCAAATGCGTTATACCCTGCCAAACTGACTGCATACTCTCCAACGTTTTTGGCACATTAGCGCATTTTAGCCAAGGCTGTACGTGCTTATTATTCAAGGGCCTTTCTTGTTCGTGTTCAGGTATGGTTCTGCCGAAAGCAGACGGCTTGAGCTTCACCTTAGTAGCTCTCACGTCTCTCTTGATTTCTCTCTGCAGTACTTTCTTCTTAGTACGACCCAGTAACCCTAGAGACGTACCGACGTCCTTGGGAACAGAGTGCAGCTCTTGGAGTTCAACTTTGATTGGAACAATGATTGGCTCATTAATACTGAACATTTCAATGATGCTGTTTATGTTGATGGTCCCTTCGAGCATTTCGCTATCTTTCAACCAGTTGATGAACTGGGCCGCTATTCTTTTGGATATCACCTCTGATTTGTCTCGTAGGCTCATTTGTTCTAGGAGGAGAGATGGTACTTGCTTCCATATCGAGGCAAGAAGTTCTGGTTTCTTGAAGAAGTCTGAGTAAGGATTTGGTTTGAGGTTAGTGATATAATCGAACATTTTCTTCGACGCCCTTTCATGCTCTATAAACAAAGATTTGTTGATTCTGGAAACCCTTGTTGCTGCTCTAGACATTCTAGGCATTGGTTGCTCCGAAGGTGAAACAATAGTCTCAACGGAAGTTGCTGAATCAGGAGAACTGGAACTGTCGATTCGACTGTATTTGTCACCGACATAGTCTCTGAAAACTGTTATCAGAGATATCACCTGTTCAACTATTCCCCTAGGGAATACTTCTCTCAGCACTGATGTTCTCTTCCAGGGTTCTATAGTAGCATGCAGCTCTAGCTGATCCAGGAAATTTTGGAACCATTTCCTAATGTATGGATCAATACATTCTCGTTTTGTACTTGGAATTTGTCTGTTGCATACCCTCTCCATTTCCTGAATTCCCCCCCTTGGATACTTTCTTTCCAATTTACATTCCTAGTCCCTTCAGAACATGTAAAATTTGTGTGAATTGACATTCATGGTCAATGACAGATATCACAAGTATTTTGGCAGCTTAATTGATATATATACGCTGTTGGGTTCAAGCATGGCTTGACAACTTAATCTATACTTGACAAAGTACAAGTTTGAAATTTAAAGAGATAATCAAAAGTTATTTCCTTGTACTTCTTACATTATTCAAATAATTGAATTGAAATTGCAATGCAGCTTCTGTCTCTGTATATTATATCGTCTAATTAGGCAAAGATAAAATCATGACGTGTTCAAGAACCATTCAATTAATAATCCTCCTCTCAAATGCCATGCATATAGTGCTCCAAACTATGAATTTGTTGATTGAACTTGCGTTGTTGTGCTGTCAGCACCAAGAGTTGGCTGACGAATTATCTTGTCTCCTCTCTCTCGGAATACGTTGTTTTCCATCGTTAGGTGGGTGTTGAAATGGCGTATGCGATCGAATCGATATCCGAGTTTTTCTAATATCGTTCAAGATAAATTATGAACGCTTCGATACATGCCAAAGATGATTCAGCTATAGAAGTTTCTGTTCAGAAAAATCCTATAACTGCTGATTGACATATTTCAACCACTGACTGTTTTTTGATGAATGTGAAAAGTTGACGTTCCAAACTGATATGGGATATAATCCTTAGTAATTTCAGTCATGGATGCGTTGAGTGTAGAAGATCTATCACTCACATCGAAAATTTCAATAAGCTGTTTTTTTCTATATGATCGTATTACAGTAGAATGCTCATCATTCAACCACTAGATTTATTCAGTAAGACAATTTATTTGAATATAAATTTTGACTACTGCATTCAGTGCAATTATCACTATGACACCACCATCGACTTTGACAACTTCAAATTATTTTCCGCCGAATATCTCTCGGGCATTTACGAATGCCTCATAATAAATGTACAATGCGAAAATCAATCACTATGATAACACGATCGACTTTGACAACTTCGAATTATTATCCGCCGAATATCCCTCGAACATTGGCAGAAAATGCCTCATAATTTCATGACAATCATTCCACTTGATTTTTTGCCAATGCAAATATGCGTATTATTTCAATATATTTGTAGTGGGACAAATCAGATGATTTGCCACAAAATGTCACTGCGTTTAACAAATGTTTCTACCAGGGAGCCTGAAAGGAAAATCCAGTAGCTTGTCAGTGACACATTGTTTGAAAAAATATTTGAAGGAAGATATATTGAAAAAATATAGAATTTTCACTTATCTTTGGACTTTTCGGGAACAAATCTGCTTCAGGTCTCAACATGAGAATGCAAAATATTTTTCTTTGAAAGTTGTGCTCTGCTTATAGTTCGACACTTCTCAGTGTTATACAAATGAGTTACAGGATGTTTTCATTAATTGATCATGAATCTACCAATTTCATGTTCAGTTTTCAGTACTGAAAACCATGTGTTATCTATATCAACTGAACAGGAAGCAATGCTGTTGTCTCTGTTCAGAAGAATGCAAGCGGATTCCTTGATTTTTCATTTTTGGTTGTCATCTTCCTTTCCTTTGATTTTGATATTATTCCACTATGCCATATGTTGTCCATCTTCAGTAATGATATGTTCAGTTGATATAGATAGAACATGGTATTCACTACTGAAAACTGGACATGAAAATGGTGGATTCCAGATCAATAAATGGAAACATCCTGTAACTCATTTGAAGACTAAAATCACTCAACCATATGCCAACATCAGTATGACACTGGGAAGTCTCAAACTATAAGCAGAGCACAACTTCCAAACAAAAATATTCTGCATTTTCATGTTGAGATTATTTAATATTACCATCACATAGAGAATACGAATTCCAAAGCAAAATCTGTATATATCCATTTTTTCATGTTCATGATATATCTGAGAATATTCCTTTTCAATAAATCAAAATGGATTGAGAACTACGATGCTGAGATTAACCAGTTTGTCGCTGATGATGTCCATAGAGTGCGATATGCTCACAAACATAGATGTGGAAGAAGTAATTAATGATTTTTGCCATTTAATATTCAGAAGGA